GTAGGCCAAATAGCTCACTGATTCTTAGGCAAAACTCAACTTTAGACCTGGCATTTCTGCGATGAGGTCTCTGCTCAGGGGAGAAGCCTATTGCTTTGCTCTTGCCGGCAGCTCTGCAGAAGGGCTGGGCACACCAGAAGGGCCCCATGTTCCAGGAAAAAACGACGCACGTGTGTGCGCGGGACTGTATAACCTATGCTGGGGTATGCACCTCGATGTCATTTTGGTCCAGGGTATGATGAAGCTGGCCGTGTACTACAGCAGAGGCAGCTGGCTAATGAAGCTAGGTTTTGAAGGAGTCATTTCAAATGACAGCAACGATGACTGAGAAAGCATGATGAGATGGGCATAGGAGATTCACATTTTAATCTAAAGCAAAACTTAAAGGAAACAAAAAAAAAAGCTGACCACGCTCCTTCCTTTAGGCGTTCTGCCATCTTAACTGCCAAAGAATGAAAAAACAAAATGACCCCAGATTCTTCAAGGTCAAGCATATCATCAAATGGACAACCTGCAGGTCTCAGACCCTCATGGAATCTACTGAAGTTGTCATGATGTCCTGTTTTTGAGGTATTTTAAAAAAAAATCGTGACAGTGGATGATGCAAAATGGAGCTTCCTGTTGAGTTCTAAAATATCAACTTCTGTGGACCCAAGGAGAAATTTAGCACCAACTAAAAAGCAGCCTCAGTGGCATTGAGGGACAAAGAAAGCTCCTGCCTGTAGTCTGAACATGACGGCAACAGAAGCCACGCTGGGGCAGACTGAGAAGAGCAAAGGAAAGAACTCCTTGTCTACTGTGGCCCCAGCTGGTGTCAGAAGAGGAAGGAGCTCCCTCTGGACCCCTCAGTGTGCCCCTTCGAGACTCCCAGGAAATCTGCTTAGCACCCTGGGCCATAGGAGGAAAACGTGCGGCCCTGGCTCTGAGGACGCCTGCCGTGCTGGGAGAGGCAGGAGTATCTGACTCCCTTTCCTCAAACGTATCACTCCCAAGCCCTCCCCATGTTCTTCCTCATCAGGCCTGAGAAGACAGGCATGAAACCAAAGCACCAGCTGAGCCAGACAGGCCCATCACCATCCTCAGCAAGGGAGCGAGCTGCTTTCTCACCTTGCGTTAGTTTGGCCACCAAGGGAAGAACCATAAAACAAAACACAAAATCTGCTCAGAGCAGATTACAGCATGGTAAACAGAGGTCTAAGACGACAGCACCAAACGAGGAGGGGGAGGGAAAAAAGCCGAGAGAGASTGGAGCCCACCTTGTTTTTGGTTGGTTGTGGTTTCAGAACGTTGATAGCACCTCAGCAAGACAGGATCAGGGACAGTCACATTAAAACACCATAGCACCATTTTATTTAGTCTATTTCAATTCATAAAAATGCTTCCTAGTCCATAAAACACACTTCAGTAACAAAAGGAAAAGAGATATTGGTTGAGGCACGTCAGGGATATATCAGAGTTTTCCACCAGCTTTGCCTTGGTTTGMGATCTCATGGTGGTTAAACTTCAAGAGGAAAGTCTGGCTGGGTATCTCTCAGTGAAGCCAGGTCACGTCTACTCATCATCAACCATCCTCACACATCTGCTGCTGTCTGATACAAAGCAATTAAGCTCTGCTACTTCTTTCCTTGCATTAGCACTTTAAAAATCCCTTGCTCTGCAAACTACTGTTTTCAAAAGAGGCAGGTGGAAGGGCCAGAGGGGACAGGTAGCATCCCTTTCCATGCACACCATCGTCAGCTCAGCAAGAAGGCAAAGCAGCACCCAGGAAGCTGGGGGTATGGGGAACTTAGGACCTGCTAAAAGCCAGACCCAAAACAAAACCCCCCAAATCCACGCAACACCTTTAATCAAGCTTGCCAATGGCAAGACGATGATTTCTTGAGCTAGCACCAGTTATTTTATAAGAACCTGCTGCAAAGTGATTTTTCTTTAAAAAAAAAAAAATCTCTTTAGCATAGAACTTTGCAAGTACTTCCCTTGCATGCAACAGGAAGGGAAAAACGCATCAAAGCAAAAAAAAAGGAACCGAATATTTGCACTGCATGTGGATGGTGTCCATGGATGGGGCACACTGGGGAGATGACAGTAAGACTCCATCATTTTCTGTTGCTATATTATCATTCTTAAAACTTGGTCATGCTGTTAGGTTCTTTAGTTGCAATGGCTTTATTTTTTCTTCTCATGATAAAAATGTCAATCATCTTTAGGACTTAAAAAAMTGATAGTGCCAGTAAAAAATAAAAATTTGATTTTTCTCTTTAAGAAGCCTTCAGCAGCAAGGGGGGATAAAGAGCTGTGCATAGTTACTTTTAAAATATATGTCTAAAGCATGCTAATTTCAATGACTGAGATTTGAGGTAGGTTATACATGTAGTGTGTAAAGATCAGCAATGGGCTTGAGCGCGGCAACAGCACCACCTAACTCTCAGAACACGCTTGGAGGGCAATGGGAGCGTCCCACGGAGACTGCCTCTTGCCAGCCTCTCAGCTCCTAGCCAGGAGGCTTATGACCCAAGGCTGTGTGGGCTGGGGACAGATGTCACATGCTTTTAGCTTGTATTGTTTTCTCCTTTCATCTAATGGCTTTGCTACCAAAGGGTGACGAGGGGAAGAGTATATTTAACATACATCAGAGAGATCCACACATGCCAAGTATCAGAAATCACCTGGGTTACACTCGGGACCTTCCAAACCAACAGCCAACCTGGGGCTTCCACGGGTCATACAGACGGTCACATTCTCCAAATGTTTCGTAAAATATCATATTTCTTGCTTAAGATCATTTAAAATGAAGTTTTCAAGGCACCCCCGCATCTACCTAAGCACGGAGTCAAATGAGACCTGCATAAAAGTACTGATGCGATAAGCAAAATAGCATTTAAAGGACCCAACTTTTCCTCAAAACTAGAAAATTAGCATGCTCATTAAAGACTCTGCTTCCTTTAGCTTTTCAAACTGAAGGTCAGAGGTTTTCCTATAAATCTGAGTTCTGAATAATTCTAAATCCTGATAAGCTCTTGGGTATTTATTTCAAAAGCAATAATATTTCATTTTTGTCCTGTAAAATAAATGCAACTTTACAGAATATGGTAAAAGTGGAGGATAGACAAAGCACGTTAAATATTCAGCTACTATTTACAATTTCTCCCACAATTACATGTTAAAACGTACTTTTTTTTTTTCAAGTTGCTGTTTAAATCTAGGCAAAAGTGCTTAAAAAAATCTTTCACTATTTACAATTAAAACCAGACCACACAAATGCTCAGGACGTCTCACAGCGACTCTCCACCGGTGCTTCCCAAGGGCTACAGTGAACACCTGGCGGGTCGGTTCTCAGCTCTTCCACAAGGCACCTGGAAGCTCAGGAGCTTGCCTTTCGCATTGTCATCTGATTGTTAAACTTGACTTATGAAGACCTACATCTGAATAAAACTGCTTAATAAATATCTGATGTTTATTTCAGGGCTTGGCTGTCATTCACCATGTGGCCACATCCCCCTACCCCTGACCATGTCCTGACGACACCCTTCACTCGCCACACACATCCACATGGGTAGCTTGAGATCATCTCTGCTAATACCACAGGAAAAACGAACACTCCAACAAGTGTGACTTGCCATAGACGAGGGCTACTTCCACCTGTCAGACCCAACCTCTCTCAACAATGTCACTAAAATTAAGCACCACATTCTCATTTCAAAGAACTGAACAAATGCACCAGAATTTTAGAACGGGTGTGTTACAAGGGGGTGGAGAGAGGAGGAAGGAAAAAAAGAAAATGGAGAAGATGAAGAACTGGCACCAATGAGGGAGGAAAATCATAGCAACCTGTTGAAAATGTTTGACTCTTGCACTTTAAAATTAAGTGGAGGCCTCACCCCCGCAGAGCTTGGAGGGGGGTGGACTGGGGCATGCACCATTGTCCAATGTGGAGATCCAAGAGTAAGGACAGATGTGGTAACTGCTGTTACACTGGTTTGCTGAGCTCCCATAGGACACAACCTGCCCAAGAGTCAAGAAAGTTCCAGCACAATACTAGAGCACCTGGTTCCGCACAGCCCAGCACCATGCGCAGAGCCATGCTGGCTCTCCACTGCTTGGATTCAACTTGTTTTTAGAACAGTAGCCCTTTTGCAGCATCAGCATAGACTTTCGGGCGATTCTGAAAAACTGCCATTAAGACAAATTCCTTCAGCCCAGTATTCATTGGCTTAGCAAGTGGTGGAGAGGACTCCTGGGAGCCTCTCAACTCCAGCTCCAGCATGAGGTGCTGCCTAGCAAACCATGACATGATGACTTGGTAAATAACGGACAGACAGGATTCAGTGTGGAGACTAGCAAGCTTGAAGCTGTCTACTTCCATCCTGGTTTCTGGGAAAATTGACACCAGGGTCTCTGGGGCTGGGCCTGGGGTGCCCCTGCCCTGCCGCCAACTGGAAAGGGGCCCCAGATGGTTTTCTACAGCTTTCCCCATCCTGCCAGAGAGGACGAGGCTGTCCCAAGGGCTCCCTGCCCGTGGGGAGGGATGAATGAACTGGGGGGCTACACGCTGCACTTGGCTCATGAGGGGCAGATGACTGAGAACCTGTCAGCTCCCAAGAGGCCGGGCTCGCCGGGCAGGAGCGAGCACTGTGGGCCTTTCCTGCCCTCCATTACCATTACTATTGTCGCTTTAAAAAAATCCAATAAATACACATTTTAAATGGAATTTAAAACTACTCCTTTGTGAAAGGACACTATAAACTTTCTTTCCATTATTGTGATATACAAGGATAGAGTTTTAAAAACAAAATAAAAGCCCCCCCAAACAAGGGGAAAAATAAAACAACGTGGAGATATAAATATTAAGATCACGGAAAAAATCACCCGACAGCCGTAGTTTCTTCTTCAAAGTGCTGGGGACGTGGGGGAGAGGGAGGGGCGGGTCAGTTCTGAGGTTTGGACCATAAATACATATATATGATAGGCATATCCATATATGTATGTATAGATAGAAAGACTTCTGCACCCCCAACCCGCCCCCGGTGTGAGGGCAAAAGCACCAGAGGCAGCTCGGGCCGGGCCCGACGCTGAGGTACGCTGGCTCCCTGGCACCTAGATCCAGCGGCTGTAGGGGCCAGTGACCTTCGTGTAGGCGTAAGAGGACACGGTGACCGCTGAGTCTGTGGGCACGGCCAGTGCCTGCCGGGTGGGGACAGCCCCCTTCTTCTCCTTGTGCTGGGGCTCAGGGACCATGGCACCCCCCCACTTGCGCTTCTTGCCATAGAGCTTGGCCTCCTGCTGGCCCAGGCCCAGTCGGGCGGCCTCCTCCTGCCGGGCCCGCGCGCGCTCCGCCAGCTGCTTCATCTTGGCTTCCCAGAGGGCCAGCCCGTGGTTGGGCTGGTTGAGGTTCTTGTGCTGGTAGAAGACCAGCGAGATGCGGGTGGGGTGGCAGCGGTTGGGCTTCTTGAGTGGTGTGGTGGCATGCAGCTCCCGCCGGGCACACTCGATGAGGATGGAGCCATGGGCGGGGGCCACGGCCACGCCGCCGATGTTCTCGTCTAGGAAGTTGTGTTCGCTGTCTGACCACAGCTCTTCCTCCTCTTCCTCCTCCACGCCAGCACCACCCTTCTCCTCCTTCACAGCTCCCTTGCTGGGGGTCTCCTCGGCTGTTCCCTCCTCCAGGCTGAAGGGGTCCCATAGCTTCTCCTCCGACTTCAGGGCCCCAAACAGCTTATCACTGGAGCCCAGAGGCATGCCAAAGGCCTGCCAGGCTTTGTCCAGCTGGCTCGCCCCGGGGTTGGGGATCCTTCCCTCCTCCCCTTTCATGGGGTTCCACAACTTGTCTTGGAACCCGGCACCACCTTTCAGGGCAGAGTTGAAATCACTTGTCCCCACGCCCCATGGCTTCTCAGTCAGGCCAGGTCCAGTCAAGGCTGAGGTGTTATTCCCAAACTTACAAGGACTCCAYGGTTTGCCTCGCAGCCGTCCTCCAGGATGCGGAGCCGACTGCTGCCCATCGCTAGCAAACAGCCCCCACTGGCCATCTGGGAAGTGCGAAGGTGTCAGGCAGCTGGTCCCAAAAGAACTAAGCTTGTCGGGGACGACGGCAGGACTCTCCCTTGGAGGGAACACGCCCCAGCTGCCACCCACACTGTTAGTCCTCTTGGGAGACATGGTTGGGCCTCCTGAGTATTGTCCCCATAGGTGATTGGGTCCCCCATTCTGAGATGCCTCAGGCAAAGGTGTTTTGCCCAGCTTACCAGGATCCCTGGTTACAGATTCGGCCTGAGCCAGTGGGTCTATCGGCTCTTGCTTGATGGATCTGTTATAGCAGTTGGAGCTCTGAGCAAAGGGAGAAGCGTCCCTGGATGCTGGGTGGAGCTGGGGAGCCTTGGGAAGCAGATACTCCTTGGGGCCTGGGTAAGTAGGCTGCTGGTGGTGAGGAGTGGGGTGGTGGGTGTCTGTGGGAACAGCCTGGCCAGGTAGCTCGGCAAACTCAGCACCACCGTAGGCTGGGCTCAGGCTGTTGTGCAGAGCATGGAGATCTGGCTTCTTCTCAAAACTGCTGCTGCTGCCACTGTGCCCCCAGGTGCCAGGACCCAGGAACTGGGAGGGGAAGACGGGGTTGCTGGGTGGAAAGCCATAGTAACTGAATGAGGGAAGAGCGTACTTGGAGTGGAACCCGTTGACGGAGGTCAGGCTGGGCTGTGCATAGTAGGAGTGGTAGGAGTACACGCTGTTCATGCTGTAGGGGTCGGAGGGCCGGCAGTTGCCCAGCACCGAGTAGCTCTCCACCACAGAGTTGCCGCTGTACTTGAAGGAGCTGAAGTGGTTCTGTGGTTCCACCTTGAGGGAGGGCTTTAGGCTTTGCTGGGACAATCCACCCTTCAGAGACAGTCCTGGGGAGAACAGAGGGCAAGGTGGGAAGGAGCCAAGAACACCGCAGCCTGGCAAGGCCGGGACGGAGGACAGGGGAAGGGGTCTCCCTCCTTCCCCGAGTCCTGTTTCAGGTGGGAAAGACAGGACAGGTGAGATTCTGAGACTTACCCAATTCAGGACCTGGATGCCCCCGAGCACAGGCCCCAGCCCCACTGTGGGTTCCAGGAGGTGGCTTGCAGTCCTCATTCTACCCCAGTGAACTCCCTGAGTCTTCATCAAATCACCACTTCCAGTGCTGGATCAGGGTCGCCAGACACAAGAACCCAAGTGCCCACAACCCCCTGCAGTAGCATGCCCACAAGCCCTAGGGCAATGCACCTTTCCTCAGACTCCAGGGGGATGTGTGAGCATGCGAGAGAAGCCAAATGCTCCCATCCACCAAGCTGTTCCCTGGAGATAACCAGCTCTCTCTGCACTTCCCTCCCCAGGGGCCTCCTCTCAGGTAAATTTGCTACTGACCCAACTAAGCAGAGGCCCCAAGACTCTCTGTCTAGTTGCTAGCATGATGCAGGAATGGGGGTGGAGGCTGAGGCCCTCCAGGAAGGGGCCCAGGCCAGCCCTGACAGTGCCCTCTCCACACACCTGTTTCAGTGGGAACCCCAGCCAGCTCCAGGGCCTCCTGCTTGATCTTCTCGGGGGTGCTCAGCTTCTCCTTCTGAATCTTCTTCTTTTCAGCTGCTGCCCTCCTGGCTTCCAGCTGCCGTTGGCGGCAAGACTTGGCAGGCTCAGGGAGGCGCCGGACCTCGCGGGGGAAGGCAGTGAGCACCTGGATGGCCCCGCTGCCCACCTTGGCATTCTGGTTCTCCTCACTGCCAAACTCATCTGTGCTGGCCATCTTGTACAGAGGGAGCACGTGCAGCTGCTCGTCCTCGGGAATCTGGCCCACACAGCGATTGTCTTCCTTGGTCAGGGTACAGACCTGACCCACATGGGGAGAGAAAGACATGGGGTTGGGAACCAAGTGCCAGGGAAGGTCTAAATCCCCAGATGACCTCTCCTCAGACTCCAGGGGGGTGTGTAAGCATCCCCATGCAATCCAAATGCCACCCACCCACCCAGCCCTACCACTCTCTGCTGCTTCCCAGAGTTTCTAAAAAGCATCTTGGTCCATACAGTACCAGTACTGCCAACATTATAGCCAGCACCACAGCTTTCAAAGCGGATCTGTTCATGTCACCTCACATGCCCCTGATGTGGCACAGGGTCAGTGCTGGCAAGGTGCTGGGCCAAGAACAGGAAACCTGCTCTGCCCTGGGCCCAGCATTGCTGCCACTGCACCTGGCTGAGCCTGGATCTTCCAGCCCCTGTCTTGAACATTCAAGTTCCTTTTGCTCTTGAGACACTTTTCCTTTTTTGTTAAAAACTATCTCTATAATCTCACTCCCCAGAAACAATCATTGCAAACACTTGGGTCATCTGTGCATACACATGCACATAATTACTTTTTGATAATTAAATAGGGATACACTACATATTAATAAGTCTCTTTCTTAACATAGTATGAATATTATGCATTAAATATTCATCCCTGTATGATATATCATACATGATACATATGACTATGGTACCAATGTTACTTAACTAATCCCTCATTATCAAACATTTCAACTTGTTTCTAATTTTTTCCTACCATAACAATTTTTTTCAAAGTCTCCTTTTAGTATTTTCTAAAAAACTTAATTCCTTAGAATAAATGCCGTGAAGCACACCAACCACATGCAACCAAAATGCCCTCCAAAATTATTGTTTTACTCACACTAACAGAATGTGAGTTTCAATTCTTTTTCACATTTTTGCTGATAATTTAGTCTTTACTCTCTTTAAAAACATTTTGTTCATTAAAATGTATCTTATTATTGGTTTACATTTCCCAGTGAGGCTTGTTTTCCTCCCCTCCCCCCCAGTTTACTCTCTCCTTTTGTATTTTCTTATTTTTTGTATTCTTGATGCTGGTATTTGAGGCCTTGATCCTGGAGATCTGGCCCCTCCCAGAGCTAGCTAATTCCCGGAGATAGCACATGACTCCCTGAGAATAAGCCTTTGATACAGAACCAAACAATTCAAGAGCCCACATCCCCCAACCACCTCCTTCATCAAGCTCACATAGCAAGCCAACATTCTCCACTCTAAATCGCCCTACGGCCAGGTCCCAAGCAACCATGGACCACCTGCATAGTCCAAAGCCTGCTGAAATTATCCAAACCCGAACAGACTCCACATACCTACCCCTGCCTTGCTATTCCTTCCTGTGGAAACCACAATAAAGGCTCGGGCTAAATTTCCCCCAGCTCCCCACTATCCTGGTACTACCTCTACCCTATGGTATGCCATGTCTTCTGACTCTAGGGATCTGTATGAATTTCTTCCTTGATGACAGTCACTTCATGTGTCTTTTTTTTCATGCCTATATTTTGTTTATTTTTATGTTGTGCTAATGATCAAACCAAGTGCATCACAGGTGCAGGAGGCAAGTTCTCTGCCACTGAGCTACAACCCCAGGCCTCATGTGTCTCATGATACCAGATTAAAATAAAGTTGTACAACTCTGTAGAATTGTTTTCCTTCTTTTGTGTATCTTATACCTTTTGCCAAATTTTATTCTATATTATTCATTGTTTCATAGTCTTCTTTTTAAAAAATATGTATTTTTTAGTTGTAGATGAACATAATACCTTGATTTATTTATTTTTATGTGGTGCTAAGGATTGAACTCAGTGCCTCACATATGTTAGGCAAGTGCTCTACCACTGAAGTACAGCTGCAGCCCCATATAGTCATCTCTGTATGTTCATGTTATCATTCCTTTATCACAAATGCTACTGCAGTTGAGCTCTGTGCACTGTTGGTCATTATGATGATTGTTTAGACAGCTGAATGAGTGTGCACATGTGCAGTTAGACACTTCGACACAAATGAGCTCATGTTATATATCCCTGCTGTTCTAGGACCTACTTTTATGTTCTGAACACAGCTCTACCTCTGAGCTACACCCTATTTTTAAATTTTGAGACAGGGTCTTGCTAATTGCTGAGGATCTCACAAAGCTGCTGAGGCTGGCCTCAAACTTGAGATCCTCCTGTACCCCAGCCTCCCAAGATATTGGGATAACCATCAAGCTTGACTGTACCTGGGAGGTCCTACTTTTTTTAACTCAAAGATAATTCCAGTTATCCATTTTATATTTGCCTTTTCATTTTTGTATTATTTCATTTTATTTCAGTTTTATTTATTGAACAGAAACATTACACTTTTCAGGGTCAGTTTTATAAATCCTTTCATTCTGACTTTCTCTTTTGGCTTCAAACTCTAGCTTGATCCAATGTTATAAACAGGAAGAAGGTAAAATGAAAGGGTGAGACAGAGATAGAAGCAAAGTTTCTGTCCTGGCACATAAAAGACACCTAACAAATGACAAACGAATGGCAATCCTGATTTTAAAAATAAGTAGTAAAGGACATAAGTGGAATATTCACAAAGCTGAAATGGGCAAGAAAAATAGAGAAAGATGTTCCACCTCTTCAGTAGAAAAGACAACAAATCAAAGTGAGACTGTATGTTGGCCACTGGGGGAGGCAAAGACTAAAAGACTGATAAAGTCCAGTGCTGCCAATAGGCAGAACAGATGCTCTCCAAGCCTCTACAAGTAAACATTCCTCCCTGGGGACCTCAAAGAGGCTACCACATGGTTGCACAAAGCTGCATGAGGCTGAATCCTCCTTGTAGCTTATAGATGAGAAACTCTGAAAGTATCTATGGTCCATCCATAGGGGCTGGTGAAATAAGTGACAGCAGAGCCATACCCACAGCCTCAGCAAGCATGGACGTAAAGCCATCTACACGGACACAAAATCTGAGTTATCCCCGAGTTAGGAATAGCAAGTCACAGAAGAGGATGGAGAGATTAACTAGAAACCCTCACACTAGGGTGTAGACAGGTGCCTGCCTCATCTTGCTTATCAATCTGAGGCACAGAGACAGGAGACAGGGTGGAGGAATGAAATCCTGAGATGGGGCCACCTCACATGGCCAAGAAGTATAGTCAGAATCTGGGAGCTCCCTTGCCTCTTCCACAGCGGCCCAGGAACCCTGCCTGCACAGGACCTAGCTAAAGAGTGTAGCACAGCACCGGTGCCATCTCTTTGAGGAGGATTCCCCACCTGAGCCTCTTCCCTTCTTCATCCACAAATATGCCCCTGGAGAGCCATTCGGCCTCAGAGCTCTGCCAGCACCAGGCCCTCTCCTCTGACTTCTTCTTCAGTGCATCTAGTAGATATCTCAAAACAAATTTTTGATTTTCGACGCCAAACCTGGTCTTCCCCTCTTATTCTACTTCTCATTAAGTGGCACCAATATACTCCCAGTTGCTCAAGTGTCTCCCGTCCCTTTGTCCCTCACACTATATACTTCTCCCTCAGCTTTTACTGCTACCAGAGTATCACATACTTGGGAGGGGACTCTGTCCATTTTATTCCCCACCATCTAGACAGTACTTAGGAACACAGTTGACACTCAATAAACAATTGTTTAATTAATGAATCAAGGGGTTGTCTGGAATTATATCCAAGGGTCCACAGAGACCTGGAACCCCATTTTAGATGATGAGGGACTCCAGGTGTCCAAGGTACTGCATCCTACAGTATCCACCTAAGACACAGAGCCCACACACCCCACCTGCCTGTCATTATGGGTTTTCTCAGAGAAGCAGCAGGAGCAGGCAGTCTGGCCAGACATCACCCAGAATTCTCAAAATACTGCCTCCTTGTCCCTCCTGACCCTGGGCCTACTTTCTGCAGAGTCCACAGCTAGGCAGGTGGGGCTGTCGCAGAACACAGGCTTCCTTACCACAGTACACCCATTGTAGAGGTTATGCTGGTCCTTGTGGGCGTGGGCACAGAAGTCCATGCAGGCTGTGACCCCGGAGAAGGGCCGCCCTTCCTTCAGCCCCAGGCGGCAGTCGATCGCTATTTCCTCATTGGTAACCTGTGTGAATATCAAGGAGAGTGAGCTGCCCATGGGACCCAGAGGTGAGTTAGATCCTGATTCTGCACCTGAGGAACCTCGAGGTCTTAGAGGAAGGGAGGTTAAGGATCACAGCCGGCTTCAACTTGGACTGGCTGAGAGGCCCCGGTTCCTAAAAGTTACTTTCCAATCCCTGTCGAAATGGTTCCCTCCCAGATTATCTCCAGCACCCCTGCCTCATCTGGGAGGTGCAGGTTCTAGGAAGAGCTCAGGCCTCAGCAGTGGAAAACAGACTAGAGGTGACAGAGGACAACTGGGAGGGGGACAAATACTAGGGGTTCTGTAGAGATGGTGTGTAATGCAGTTAGCTTGATATAAAAAGGATTTATCAAAGAACTGTATCACCTCTTTACTTCTGGGCTGGGCTCTTTACGAGCACAAAGGAGCCCACTCCTATTTCCCAACTTTAGGGACCCCAGGGTGGGGAGAGATGTGGATGGTTTGTGGGCAGAGAAAGGCAGGCCCCAGTACCTGGTTCTGATAGGCCTGAGGTGCCAGCCGTTTGTATAGGGGAGCGACTTCAGTGGCCAGGTCCTGGAAACTCTTCCGTAGCACTTCTTCCTGTGGAAAGAAGAGCAGTCATACATATCCAGAGTGGCCCTGCATGGCAAACTGTGTGCTAGGAATGAGCCACCATCCAGAACCACAGCCAGGTGTATCTGGCAAGGTGGAAAGTCAGGTGCAAGTGAAATTTTCTTGTATTCCCTTTGCCATGTCCACTTTAAAGCTGGGGGCACTGAGGCTGACACCAGGAAAAGCCACTGCCAGAAGAAGGTCCAGTCATCTTGACTACTATGCTACTGCCCAGTTCAGCCCAGGACACACAATACACGTTCTCATTTTCAGTGCTGAACAACCCGAGTCAAAGATGTGATAACATGGGCATAGAAAAATTGTGAGCAACAGGTAGAGAACTTCTTAATCATGTGAGAGACAGGAAGGCAGAGCAGACAGGATTCTGTGCTAGAAAATCCATGGCCAGCCTAGCCCAAAGTCTGTTATGAGCCAGGTGTTCAGATGAACTCCCAAGTTCTGACTGCTAAACCCATACCACCTAAGTACAAATTCAGTCCCTCAGGGGCACTAGCCACATTTCAAATACCCAGCAACTCCTGCCCTCTCATCATCAGAGAAAGTTCCACTGGATGGTACCACTCTAGACAAAGTAGTGGTCACCTAGTAACATTCAGAGATGTCTCTCTGGTCCTCATAGAGAAGAAAGTCAGACTATCAGGGGCTTTTACATGGCCTTCAGCACAGGCACAAAGAACCTATGAAGAAGCAGGAGGAAGAGGGAAGAGAGAAAGAAGTATACACACAGGATTAGAAATGGAAATCAAGACAATGGCTCATCTCTCCATCCAGGAGGATGGCCTGGTCGCCTCCCTGGCTGCTACCAGACATTGCCACTTATATAGTGGGCCTGAAGCCAGTGAAGCATAGAGAAAAGGCCCATGAGATCTGGGAAAACAGGCCGAGGACTGAATTTTGCCTTCACCATAAGCCAGAAGACCTTCAGCAAGGCCTCTGCCTCTCTATAAAGTGAGGTAACAGTGCCCACATTATTGAGGGGGCGATATCTGAAATTAACTGAGATACCTGTGAGGAGCTCAGCGCAGTATCTGGCCAGGCATGGTGGCGCACACCTGTAATCCCAGAGACTGGGAAGGCTGAGGCAGGAGGTTTGAGAGTTCAAACCCAGCCTCAGCAACTTAGCAAGGCCCTAAACAACTCAGTGAAACCCTGTCTCTAAATAAAAAATACAAAAAAAAAAAAAAAAAAAGGCTGGGGATGTGGCTCAGTGGTTGAGTGCCCTTGGGTTCAATCCCCAGAACCAAAAAAAGAAAAGTACCAGGAAATGATGACTGACAGCATGGGGGAAGTATTTTAAGAGACTGAACCAGTCTTTCCATTCCTGGGAGTTCTTAGGTCTTGGTGGCCCTGAGGCACCTCCATTCACCAAAGCAACTGCATTTGCTGCTTCAGGGAAAGGATGGATCCTCTCTTAAAAGTCTGTACCAAGTTAAACTACTGTAAGCTAACAAACAAAATAGTCTAAGAGACAGGTCTTTTTTTTTTTTTTGAAAATGCTTCCTTTTGCTTTTAATGCTTTAAAGTTGCTTCCTTATGTTGGAAGTTGGAAAACACAAGTTCATATGAGCTGTAGTGCAGAGAAGAGGTGCCCAAATGGATGTCCGTACTCCAGCATAAGGAGCTGGAAGGTTAAGACTGGGATCAAGACACTGTGCCTGGATTTCAGCAGAGTGACTCAGTACCTGCCCGCTCAAGAGCTCAGGCAAGAGGGAAGGAGGCAGAGGTGAAGTGATGGCTCAGAAGGCTTAAGCCTGCTTGGTTGTGGTATGTGAGTCCTACTCACGCCGCCCCCCCTCCAGGTGAGAAAGGGGAAGGGTCCCTGTGCTCCCTACACAGCTCTGCTCACCTCCTTGGGATTGTCCCCTGCCAGGCGGAACTTGCGAGGCGTCTTGCTTCGGGCGTATTTGCAGCCATTGAAGTACATGCTCCAGGAACAGCCAAAGGAGAAGGAGGCACCACAGGTGTTGGGGTCTTTGCCTTGGCAAGCGCAGGTCCGGCTGCAACATATATCACAAAATAGGCATACAGATGCAATACCAATTTGCTCTGGAATCTTTTTCCTCCCATGAGGGAAGTCCCTGCTGAGGCCTGGCATCTTCTAGCCTCCCAGTGACTTGGACTCATCCTTCCCTGCCCCCCTCAAGTCCTTTCTCAAATTTCTTTAAGCAGATGACCAGCTCTCAGCAGCCTGCTCTGCCCCCACCTGAGCATGAAAAGCTAACCTGGAGTCTGTTGTTAGGAGAAGCATGTGGGTTAAGGTAGGAGGATGAATTAATAAAGGCCCAGTATGGTTTACACTTGGCTTTAACTCTAACATCCTGACCAGCTCCAATGCAGACCCCCAAGCAGGGAATGATGTGGACCCCAGGGTTGGAACATGCCCAACCCTAGGGTCTACATCATATATATACACCCTCCCTATAACCCAGCTGAAAGGCTTTGAAACTAAAGAATGTTGATATAAAAATTCAACTCTTAATAAAATGTGGAAACAACCCAATGCCCCTCAACTGTGGAATGGATAAACTGTGATACATCCATACAGTGAAAGACCCCTCAGTGGAATAAAAAGGAACAAACCACTGACACATGTCAACTGGACAACCCTCAAAAACACCAAGCTCAGTGCATAGCCAGGCTCAGCAGGCTGCACTCCATATGATCCTGGTAGGTGACATTCCCTCAAAGGCAAACCTGCAGGGTCAGGAAACAAGATTGGTGGTTGCCAAGGGATGTGAAAAGGGATACTGATAAAGGGGCGTTTTATCAGCACAGGGAGTTTAGGGAAGTGGTGGAACTGATCTCTATCTTGATTGTGGTGGTGGCAGCTGCATGACTGTAAATATTTATCAAAAATCTCCCAATTATATACCTGAAAGGATGAACCTTACTGAAAATAAATATATTKAATAGAAAACAAAAACAAAAATGAGGAAATCCAAAACACAAAGGCAGGTTTTGTAAAACATTTATGTTTATGGGGCACATACTTTTTTCACACTGTTCACATCCTTAGCGCCTCAGCGGCCGATCTGGATTTTAACAGTGAAACTGAGCCAAGTCAATAGCCTCCCCAGAGCCGGGATCTGTGCGGAAGCATTTCTCAACCCTGGTCCCAACTCTGCAGGACAACAGCACCCAAGGAGGGTGCAAGCTTGCCCAGGGTTGTCCAGAATCCCTGCACCTGATGCCCTGAGCCCTACAGGGGACCTTGGCACCCTGAGCCTGCCCTACTGCCACGTACTCATCGTTGAGGCCACATCTTCGGCTGGTGGGGTTCCCATATTTCCGCAGAGTGTCAGTGAGCTCCTGGTACAGGGTGTCTCCGAGGCTGCGGGGGATGCCCTCCCAGGCCAAGATGAGGATGACAATTACGGCGTTCTGGCAGTGGTGGCCCGCCCGGTGCCGCACCAGGCAGAGCAGCTTCTCTTCCAGTGTGTGCCTGCGGATCACCTGTGGGGATGTGAGGCCACACTGTAAACTGTGGGAGTTTAACAGTGAAATCCCTCCACGCGGTGCCACAAATCCCTCCTGGTCACATAGCATCTTTAAGGTATAGACCCATGAATGTCACAATGTGGCAGTAGCAACCCCACAGGCTAAGAGATTATTAAAATTAGGGCATAAACCACACAAAAAGTCTTTTAGGAGTGGAATGAACGATCACTACAGTATCTTAGACCTTGTAGTTTAAGATACTGATGACTTACATAGGCCTTGAAGTAAAAAGACATAGATAAAATTCTAAGACACAGAAATTTTTACATTGTCCTAAAACATTTCTAGTGAAAATACAGCATACCTGTGTTTTTAGTTAAAAGCAAGAGGATTAGCACGGTGGAAAACAGATTATTGTCCCTCAAAAAGCTAAAAACAGAATTAGTATATGATCCAGCAATTCTACATCTTGGACTACATGCTGGGGAATCAGGGGCAGCAACTCAGGCAGATACTTGCACACAAATGTTCAATGCAACACACAGACAACAGTCAAAGGAGGAAACAATTCAAGTCTCTATCAGTAGATGAATGGATAAACAAAGTATGACATATATGTACAATAGAATATTATTCAGCTATAAAAAAGGAATGAAATTCTGACACCTGCTACAAACACGGATGAACCCTGAAAACACTCAGCTAAGAGAAATAAGCCAGATACCAGACGATGAACATGGCAGGGTTCTGCTAAAATAAGGTGCCTAGAATAGTCAGATCCACAGAGACAGAAAACAGATTACAGGTTATCAGGGGCCGGGGAAGGGGGAGTAGGGAGGGAATTGGGGAGAATACCCAAAATACTCAAAACAAGCTGTTAAAAAATTTAAAAGCAAGGGCCCTGKGCATCACACTACTCTGCAACTCAGGATTCAGCTGTTCCTCATCCAGGTTTTTTTCATCTCCTCCCTCCACACACAAAAAGATGCATCAGGGCAAAGCATCCTGGGAGCTGGGGAACAAGGTGGCTGAATTTCCCCAAAGGGTCCCAAGCAGTTCTGTGAAGAGATACAAGGTAGAGGGCCTGTAAACAGGGGTGGAATGAAGGCAGATAGAGGGGAGCTAAGTGGCAGCAATGTAACAAAGCAAAAATGCACACAGTCCTGAACTATAGCAACCGGGAAGGAAACCAGCAAAGGAGTGGATCTAGTGGGGAGAAAAGTTTGGGACTATGGGGGCTGACGGACAGGGAAATACTTCAAGTGACTTCCAAGTTTTGTGGCTTAAGAGGCAGTAGTGTGGTGCTGAATGGCATGTCAACTGGGAGTTCTCAGAGGTCAAGCTACTTGGGAAGACCTCAGGGGTTATTCCCACCAGGCCTGCAGGTCTGGAGGTTGATGTCTGGGCTGCAGATGGCCATGGTCACCAGTATGCCCAGGCAGGAGATGAAAAAAGGGGTAGCCAAGCAGATAACACTAACAAGGAAAGTGGGTCTGATGCAAGGCCAGGGAGTGATGGGACCATGGCAGTATGAAGGCATCTGGCAATCAAAAGGGGGAAACAAGGTTTCAGCTCCATTAATTGCCTTCAGTTGGGGGATCCTGGCCTAGCATAGCCAATTCTTCTGATACTTTATTGCAGGAAAAAAAGATGAAAATTTACAAATTTACGTGATTTTTTTAAAACGTGGATACCACATTCAACTTTTTTGTCATGGTAATATATACATAAAAATTTACCACGTTAAGTGTGCACTTTAGTGGAATTGGGTATATCCAAACCATCACCATCTCCAGAACCTTTTCACCTTGCAAAACTGAAACTATTCAAACAATAACTCTGTTTCCCCCACCTGATAGACCTTGCCAAGCACTATTCCATTTGCTCCACTCTATGAATTTGACTCCTCTAGATACCTCATAAAAGTGAAGCCAAGCAAAATCTGTCCTTTTGTGACTGACTTGTCTCACCAAGTGCAATGTCCTCAAGGTTCATCCATGTTGTAGCATGTACCACAATTTCCTTCAAACTTTTAGGGGATACTTTGCATGCTGAACAAAATACATCTCTGTCCAGTTCTTGCTTTGAGGCAAGGAAATAATGGTTCTTCCCTACTGAGGCATCAATTATGTTCATTTTTTAAATTGTATTTTGGAAACCAGTAACACATGAATAAGATACTAAGTCATATACTGTGTTCGAACTTCCTATGTAGTTACCTGGCTTTCTGCAGAATGAGCTGAGGAATATCATGGGTATCAACATGCATCTGTAGAAACTAATATGACAGTGGTCCCTGTGACAAGGATTTGTGAGGCACTATGGTCAACCTCTGCTCACTACCTGGGCACCACACAGGCTAATCACACTCATGGATCATGTACTCAGAGCATACAGCAAGACCCAAGCAGCTAAAGCTGTGATGGAAGCTGTGTCATTCTGGATTCCTCAATGGCAAACACACAAATGTCTTAGCACAAGTAGACAGCTTTCCCTGGCCACATCCTCACAGGTCTATGGATATGGTCAAAAAACTAGGAAAGCAAAAAAAGAGGAGCTGCTCCCTGCCCACACTCCCATGAAGAAACCCAGCAGGATGAAATGCACAAAAGTGTAAAAGTCAAAGGTGAATTGAAGACATGAACACACAAACACTGAGCACTATAAAGTGGTGGTTCACATTCTGTGAAAACATCATGAATATCTCACTTCGTTTCTAGGCAGGCAATCCCTAAGAACTGAACCAAGAGCAGTGTAATGCCCAGCAGAAAGCAAAGTGTCCCCTCCTAGAGGGGGGGGTCTTCATTTCATTTCCTGGGGTTTCCTGTGTCAAGTCTGCTCCACTATGCCTGATGGGACTTCAGATACCTGCCTTCTGATCTCCACTAGCTTTATCCTGCTCAACCAGCATCTCTGTGGTTCTTCTATCAAAACTGTCTGCCGTCCTCACTGTGTGCTTGTGTTTATTCTGAGCCTTTGAATGCTCCCTGGGCACTCCCTCCTTCTCAGGTTTGGCATCTTCCATATTTGGTATAGGATATCTTAAAATCAGACCTTACAGTTGGGCACTGTGGCACATGCCTATAATCTCAGCAATTCAGGGGCTGAGGCAGAAGGATCACAAGTTCAAGGGCAGCCTATGCAACTTAATGAGATTCTGTCCCAAAATAAACAATAAGCTGGGTGTGGTGGTGCATGCCTGTAATCCCAGCAACTTCAGAGGCTGAGGCAAGAGGATTGCAGGTTCAAAGCCATAAACAACCTAGAACACTCTGTTTTAAAATAAAAAAAATAAAAAGGGCTGGGGATGTGGCTCAGTGGTTAAGAACCCTTGGATTCAATCCCTGGAAAAAAAAGAAAAAAATCAATAAAAAGGACTGGGATGTAGCTCAGAGGTAGAGTTGTTCCCTGGGTTCAGTTCCCAGTATTGCAAAAAAAAAAAAAAAAAAAAAAAAAGAATGAAACAAAAAGAACAAGATCAGAGGTTACTCAAGGACTCCCTGGATTGACCCATTGTGTTCTCAGATCATTCAACACATTTTCTGCACACTCGCAATGTGCCTTAACACCCACATGCTCTACCCATAAGAAATAATTTTCTTTCCTTTTATCTTCCCTCCACAGATGGGAATTTCCCTAACTCTGGGAGTACTCACTATGTATTCCCTACGCTGTCCACCAGGGCTTGGAGATCTCCATGAAGACCAAAGTAATGAGGATGGAGGGTTTTTTTGTTTTGTACCCTTCTGCCTCCCTCTTCCTAATCCTTGGCAGAGCCATACAAGCTTGGTCAGGAATTAATGCTCTACCATCCATTCCAGGTTCTAGAAGTGCACATTCTCTCCTTCAAGAATATCCATATAGCAGGCCTGTAATCCCAGTGGCTCAGCAAGCTGAGGTAGGAGGATCGAGAGTTCAAAGACAGCCTCCGCAAAAGTGAGGCCCTAAGCAACTCAAGTGAGATCTTGTCTCTAAATAAAATACAAAATAGGGCTGGGGATATGGCTCAATGGCCAAGTGCCTCTGAGTTTAATCCCTGGCATCCCCCCACATACACACACAAGGAATATCCACATAGCCAGCTGTCATCTTTAACATGACAACTTTTTTGAAGCTGGAAAAATCCCTCCCTCTACCTGTGCCCTGAGGCTTTCCTCCCCAAAATGTTGGAATTCCTMAACAATCAGTTGAATTAGCAAGAGAAACGTGCAACTGTCACTCTATGGCTGATGTAATTTCATGGATGGGTTTTACTGAAAGAGAACCTTTACCTTGGATCAGCCACATCAGACCTCCCACTGCAACAACCAGCTCTCACAAAGGTGGGGACAACGTGTTTCTCATACCTGTGAATGTGCTAAGTAGTTCCAGATTATTTTGTTGCATATACTTCTACAATAGTGACTAAAAAGAGGTATGTGGTAGTTGGAAGTTCAGACTCCTTTGATTTTCATTAAATGCAAAGATGCAGGGGCCTGGGGCACATGACAGTTACAACAGGCATGTGTGCAGATGAACAAAAGCTGACCAAGGTCATTCTACCAACCTCCCTCTCTCAGTCAGTCATGTGTTGTCCACCCAGCCTTTCTGCCTTTGCCTACCTGATCCTCTTGCCTGGGAATGCTTCTAACCTGCTCCCCAGTCCAAACATGGGCCAATACCAATGGCCCCATGCGTGTCCACTTTTGGGAAAATCTAGCCTGAACACTCCTTCTGCCACTCTAGGTCCTTATCCCTGAACTCCTATAGCACCATATCTGCCTCTCATATTAAACCTCTATTATCCATCTCTCCGTGGCTTTATTTTGCTTGTCTCTAAGTATAAATAGCTTCCACCCAAAACTGAACATTTTTCACATACACCCTTACAAAGCCCTCAGCTGAGCTTACAAGACTAGAAGAGCCTTGCTGCAGCTCCTGGGGACTTTTCTGCAGAAACAGATGCTCTGCTATTGACATATCTCCCTGTGGACAACCATGGCAAGACCAGGAGAATTTTGCTTTGGTTAACTGGGGTCTCAGTTGGTGACATTCTCCCTGCTGAGACACCCAGGCTTCCTGGGAGGAAACAGCAGCTCAGAAGTTGGGCAGTTGCAAGGCTGGTCATGACCCTGCTCAGAGGTCCAGCCTTGTCCCTCAGGTTGGGTCACAGCAGACCAGTCTTTAGTTTCCAGCGAGAGACAGGAGTACTGGCCACTCCAGGGTACACAGAGAGGGCAGAGGAATCGAAGAGTCCCCAGTGGGGCCCGGCATTGGGTAATGACAGCTATTCCAGCTCCCTTTTTCCTACCCTGTAGCCCTGAACCAAAGACCATACGAACCAAGGGTAATGTTCAACAGTTCTCAGCCCAGATGCCAGGAGCTGGCATTTAGACAACATGAAGACAAACAGCTGATGCTGGAGGAAAATGACCCTAACTGCTGGCTCCAGAGTTCCCCCAATGGTCAACATACCTGTTTCCTACATCCCCTGCCCAGCGGGGAAGTTGCTCTTAATGGTTGAGGGGGTGAGGAGAGCAAGGAACAGTTTGGCTACAGGGACTCAACACTCACCCACTTTGCAATGGGGCAGCCCCGAGAGCTCTTCCCCTCCTTTCCCGTGTAGATGACCTTCTCGATCCGGATGGCTTTCCCCTTCTCTCCATACCTAGAGAAGAAGACAGAGGCCACCATTAGCTCAGTGGAATGCCAAACACCTCATGGTAAGAAGGCAGGCCCCCAGGAGCTTCAGTGTGGCTTTCTGGTTACTGTTGGGGCATGAGAGGGGAGAGAGGTTTGAACGTTATTCAATGCTTCGAGGCTCTGGAGACACAGTGGCTACCTCCAGGTTCCCAGGCTTTGGTTCACCTGCTTCTTCTTTGCTCTTGTCCATGCGGCCCATCTCTGTCCAAGGGCAGAGGGACAGTCAAGTAGTATTCTACCTGATTATTACCTGTGAGCCTCCAAGAAGGGTCCTGAAACCAAAGGCTAAACACAGACGCTTGTACTCTGTCTTGTTAGCTTAGCCACCTCACAGTTAGTGATTTATAAATCCAATGCACAAAAGAAAATAAACTCTTGCTTTTCTCTTTTAGCCACCCCAACTGACCTCTGGGGAAGTGACCCTTCCAAACACACACACTGGCTTTCAGGTTCCCCTGGACAGTAAATTCATCTGGTTCTCGCACACACCCACTGCCCTGGTCCACACACACAGTTCTGCAGAGCTGCAGGTCTCTGAGACCATCTAATCAACTATATCATGTTCAGAGGTGACAAGATCATAGTTGGCCCCAGAGCTGAAGTGACTCATCCAAGTTCACACAACTATATGGGAGAAACGGTGGTTCACCTACAGCCTGGGAAGTCAGACAGACTGGGTTTGAATGCCTGTGCCACCACTTTCTACATCTATAATGACTAATTACTGACTTCTCTAAATCTCAGTTTTCTTATCTGTAAGATGGAGATGAAAATTGCTCCTACCTCCTAGGCTTGGTAAACAGCGCATAGGGAAGTGGTGGTGGTTCATCTTACTGAACCATCTCATTTTAATTTCAGGAAAAATATATCATCTGCAGATAATGGTCACTTGCCACCTCTTCCTTTCTACTCTCGATGCCTCTATTCCAATCTCTGTCTCTCTGACCTCATGTTTCTGACATGCCAACAGCCAATTTTTTTTTTTTTTTTTTGTACTGGAGAGTGAATCCAGGGACACTTTGCCACTGAGCTACTTTCCCAGTTCCTTTTTATTTTGAGACAGTGTCTCACTAAGTTGCTTCTGATCTCAAATTTGTGGTCCTCCAGCCTCAGCCTCCCAAGTTGCTGGGATTACAGATGTGCCCCGACACCTTTGCATATTTCTCCACTTCAACAAAAATGTTTCTTGTAATTTATTACTGAACATGAAGTCAGCTGGTGCTGGGAAAGACTCCTTGCTTTGAAGAGTCCTACTAAAGAATTTTTAACTCTAAGAATCATTTAACTCTTATCCAACACAGTTTTAACATCTAAGGAGACAGATGGCTAGTTTTTTTTCTTTGATCAATTAACATGTTTTTTTTTTTTTTTTTGTACCAGGGATTGAGTCCAGGGACACTTAACCACTGAGCTCCATCCCCAACCCCTTTTATATTTTATTTAGAGACAGGGTCTCGCTGAGTTGCTTTGGGCCTCGCTAAATTGCTAAGGATGGCTTTGAACTCACAATTCTCCTGCCTCAGCCTCCTGAGCCACTGGGATTACAGGTGTGTGCTACTGAAGCTGACTGGTATGCTCTTCTTTTTCTTTTTTTTTTTTTTAATGTGGTGCTGAGGATCGAACTCATTGCCTCACACATGCTAAGTAAGCTCTACCACAGAACTACAACTCCAACCTGTTTTATAATTACCTAAATCACACTTTTCTTGTATTTCTGTAATGAATTCAGTTTGAGCAAACATTTTAATATACTATTTAATAAAGCATAATGTTATCATAGTGATTAAAATACCACTTTTTAAATCTCCTCTCCTCCACTTCTAGGACCAACAACCTCAAAATAACTACATAAATGCAGTGCCTGGGGTTGGGGCCCAGTGGTACAACAGTGGGTAGAAATGATCCCATTTGGCTCAAAATTTCTCTGTGCATGTATGTATATTTTTGTAAATGCTTAGAAAGATGAAAAGGTAAACATCAAACCTTTAAAGTTTATTCTGGGAAGAATAACTGCTAGAGGGTTTTATTCACTCTGTACTTAGACTTTTTAAGGGTCTTCTTTCATTTTCATAATTCAAAAAGGTGTTGTTGTTGTTGTTGTTGTTGTTTAATGCTAACTGAAGGTTTCTGAGTTTCATGTTGTCTACTGAGGTCTTAGTGAAGGGGTGAGGAATGCTTCTGGTCATTACAGCATTAGAATTTGAAGGCTCTGATAGTCAGGACACTGAGAATTTCTATAATGTGGTCTGGATCATGAGTTAGAAATCACACAGTGCTGCTTTTGTTTGGCTCCTGAACAACTTTCAGTTGAACTAGCATTTATCAGGAAGCCGCCCACAAGTTTAGGGTCTGGGCCTCTGTGTGTCCTGGGGATCTCTGTTGGGAGAACAGCTCGAGGTGACCACACTAACCTCTCTAAAATGTAGGACTATCATGTTCCTCACAGGAGGGTGAGCCAAGGACACGGATGCTGGCTTTCCACCCAGGTCCTCCCCACCACCCCTGTGAGAAATGCATCCTGCAGCAAGCTTCATATTAGAGATCAAATAAAAAGACCCAGCACTGCCTGAACAGTTATACTTCTTTAAATACATAAAATAAAAACAGAATTGAGTGTCTCTTTGTGTTTAAATACAACCAATCAACTCTTACTTCACTCTTTCTTCTTAAACATCTCACTTTCTGTCCTAGCATGGAACATCCCTTCTACTATATAAACTCCCAGACCATAAACTAAGCCAAAAGGACAGGCTGAACCTTATTCTAAAGAGAGACTAATAATCTTAGCCAGTGGTTCTCCAAGGGTGGACCCAGGACCAGCCGCATTGGCATCACCTGGGAACTTGGTAGGAATGGGAAGTAGGCTTTTACATCACATCCCAGACCTGCTAGGTCAGAAACTCAGTGGGGCCCAGTGAAATGTGCTTTCCAAAGCCCTCAGGAGCTTCTGATGCCTGCACAAGCTGAAGAACCACTGTTCTAATGCTGTATTTCTTCAGGGTCAGCTCTACCACACTAATGAGATCAGTTCCTCCAAAGCTCAGAGGACTCTCTAGCATAGTGTTGGTTCTTCATTTCTAGAACAAGCATTTAATGAACTAGGCTGCAGGGAATCCCTTTCCCAGATAGAACACACAAGGCTCTGGGCAACGTACCATTCTTAGATCTGAGTTTGACAACTGACTCCAATTATCTATGACAATGAGGACCTGGGTACCCAGGAGGTATAAAGCCCATAAATAAATTGAGATTTTTTAAGGATTTGCTTTCAACTGCCCTCTCCTTTCTCCAAATCTGTACCAGAGAAACTAACAGCATCATCTCTTTGATTTCAGTTTATTTCTCCTCCCTGACTTTGGCCAATGCCTGACAACAAAGGTTCTGCAGAGAAAGGGTGGAGGGAAAATAACTCTAGAGAGAGGGCAAAGACGATTCATGAACTTGGCCCCCAGTCAGGGAATCATTCATTTATTCCCCTCCCTTGTTCCAGAAGGATCTTAATAACATTCCTTTAAGATAAAAATAATAGGTGATGAAAAGAACAGCTACTTGGTACAGAAAATACAATCAGTGAGGTTTTACATGTACTTTTGAGATGAGTCTGGAACATCTTGCCATATGAAGAAGAATCAAAACATTTAGAGACTCTTTAGGGTAATATCAAAAGGACTCAGGAGCAACCTGAATAGGTCCTATGGCCAAAGGAGGGACATCACATTCCTCCTAGTGGTGGGGGTACAAAAATCTGGCTCTAAGCTTACTAGCAGCCAACATAAAGATGGAAATGCAATCCGTTACATGATTGACAAGGTCCTTAAGATAAAAATAAACCAATTGCTGAGGAAAAAGACAAGTATTCCTGGTCTTAAGAGGAATTCCTCCCTTGGATCAGATTCTGAACAATCTACAGTTGGCTGTTACTTTTAAAACAAAGAGGGAAAAATAAATATACAAATAAATATACAAATCTCAACTTTTATCTCTCTCTCTCTTAATCCATTTTTGAAATGTACTCTTCCATAATTAGAAGTTATTTAGGGAACTACCTGGAAATCTCACAAAAGTGGTACCCCCTAGGCCCCCCCCCAAAAAAAATCAAAGCAAAAAACAAATACCCATATTGGATCAAACTTATAGATTTCTCTACCCTTCGGCAAAGGATAATATTGAGATTCCTTACAAAAAAAACCACTGGCCAAGGGCTGGAGTCGTGGCTCAGTGGTGGAGCGCTCGCCTAGCATATGCGAGGCGAGGCCCTGGGGTCGATCCTCAGCACCACATAAAAACAAATAAATAAAGGTATTGTGTCCAGCTACAACTAAAAAATAAATATAAAAAAACCCCACTGGTCAAATGATGTTTATTCCAATATAGAAACTGTAGCATGCGTGCCTGTGGGCACAGGAAGCAAGCATGCACAATACACACGGTTTTAAATCTGTTGTGCTCTCATGGGCTCAGAAGTGCCCTTCACATCGGGCTGGAATTTACCAATTGGGTCTTTGATCTACTTTGAATATAAATGTTTCCAGATGATGTAAGAAATTAACAGTAACCACAGCCGATCACAGACTTCCATCCATCTCTCCTTACAGAAATTCAGCTCAAAATCATGTTCCCTACTATGCCAACAGGACTCATTTGGCTCCCCTGCTCAGATAAAATCTGGTTCCCAAACCTGTGGAAACTCTAAGCTGCTCAAGTCTTCCACAAAAACTGCTGTATATGTGTGAGCAAACATATGCTCAGGTTCACGTCACCTGTGTTTTCACTTAAAATGCTCATGCTTGTTATTGAAACTGCAATCAGTGCACAAGTACACGAGGTGGACAAAGACTGCCCACCGTGTGGTGCTTGCAGCAGACACTGTTTTTCATAGTCAGCTCAGTTTATCCTCAAAATACTCCCACTCTGTATGTGCTTCTGTCATCATCCCTATTTTGTCATTGAGAAAACTGAGTCATACAGGAGAACGACTTACCAAGGACTTAGCAGTAAGTGGCAGGGCCAGGACTGGACCCAGAATAGCTCCAGCATCCACGCTCAGCCACCACGATGTATTACCTCTCCACAGACTGGAACTTGGTATTTACTAACTGCTATGAAATGTACATAGATTTAAATACTCTATCTACATGAGTTGCATGTTAATAAAAAAAAAACTATTAAATATTCTATAGTCTTGAATTTGAATTGGGAGTGTCAATATAAACTCAAGATGTTTAACCCCTAGCAAATAACAAAAATTAAAAAGCCACAGATACAACTTAGGCTTTTCTACTGAAATGATCTAAAAACAATGAAAAAAGAAGTGGTGTACGCCCATAATCCCAGACTTTTGGGAGGCTGAAGCAGGAGGATCATAGCTTGAGACCAGCCTCAGCATCTTATCAAAACCCCATCTCAAATAAAAAATAAAAAAGGCTGGGGATGCAGTTCAGTGGTGAAGCGCCCCTAGGTTCAATTCACAGTTTTTAAAAAAATTTTTTTTAAGTAAAAATAAAAAACAATTAACAACCTACTATTAGCAATGAGCACCTTTTAGCTCTGATTACCATACCATAGGATTTACAGAAGAAGAGCATGTTAAATGACATCACAGGAAAGCGATAAGAACAGCTCAGACTGTGGGAAACAAACTCTGCAGGACATACACCCACATAACCATGTTCCTTCAGTAAAAATATTTCAGGAATGAGGGGGCATATCGACAGATTCAAAGAAACCCAGGACTTCCTGGAAGTGAGCACCCCACATTTGACCTGCCACAACATGGATGTGAGGGCTTCCTTTCTGCACATTGACTAATAGGAGGCATATTCTGTCAACACGTCCATTTCTTCTAGGACATCTGTGTATCACTCACCGCTCCTCCATGAGTTCCCGGATGGAGGCTACCGTGGGGCCAGATCCCAGGTGAGTGTAATAAGGACCTTCATCTTTCTCCACTATTTGTTCTGCAGAAATACCAAGAATAAGCATTATTTGAAGATAACAATTAGTCAACACCAATTAAGAAAGGCAAGCCACCAATAGGAAAATTAATAGGCATGTTACAAAACAGGAAACCCAAATGACTTATAAGCATGTGAAAATGTATTCAATCCCTTCAGAAACCAGAAAATCATAATAAAGCATCATTACACACCCGCCAAATGGGCAAACATTTAGAAATCTGGTAAAACTAAGTGTCATCAAGACTGTGGACTAACCACTTTGGAATTAAGCTCACTAACACCCAGTAAAGCTGGAGTGTTGCACACTGTGTGACCCAGTGATTCCCCTTCTATGTACACACTCTAGACCAGGGGTCAGCAAGCTACTCCAAAGGGACTCAAATGCCAGCATTCATAGCCATCATTCACAACCAAAAAATGATAACGCCACACGTGCCCATCAATAAATGAACAGATAAATTAAATGTAGTATAACCATATAATGAAATATTAGTCAGCCTTAAAAATGAATGAAGTTCTAGCTGGGTGCAGTGGCTCATGCCTATAATAATCCCAGCAGCTGGGGAAGGATTCAAAACCAGCCTCAACAACTTAGCGAGGCCCTAAGCAACTTGGCAAGACCCTGTCTTCAAAACATAAAAAGGGCTGGGGATGTGCCTCAGTGGTTAAACATCTCTGGGTTAATCCCCAGTATAAAAAGATAAATATATAAATGTACCATAAGTATGTAAGGGAAGCTATGTAAAGAGTAAACAGAAACTTTCTGTACCATTTTGCAACTCTCCTATAAGTGTGATATTATTTCAAAATAGTTGTTTTTCTTTTTTATAAAAAATAAAACAAACCAGGCAGTGAGTTCTAATTTGTGATTGTGTCTATTAAAAAAATCATGGTCAGGGGCTGGGATTGTGGCTCAGGGGTAGAGCGCTTGCCTAGCGTGCATGAGGCATGCTCATACAAATAAATATGCACCACATACAAATAAATGCTGGTCTTGAACTTGCAATCCCTCCTGCCTCAGCCTCCTGAATCCCTGAGATTACAGGTGAACATCACTGCACTGGGTTTCCTTAATACATCAAGAGCTACTACAGCTGAATAATAAGGTCAATAGTATAAGAAAAACTTGGGGAAAAAAAGGATAAAAAAAAAAAAAGAATCTTGGAGAAAGCAAATGGTTCAAACACACATGAAACTACAATAAGATAATTTTCTCCTTTCAGATAACTCACTGTGTTGGCAAGGTTATAGGAAACAAGTAGTGTGGAATTTAGCAATATATTACAACTACAAATGCAAAATCTGACTCAGCAACAAATTTTTTATTCAAAAAATTTGTTTCTAGGAATTTGGTTATACTTGCATATGTATTAAATAAGAGTATGAGAATATTTACTGTATCATCATTTGTAACAGGAAAATATCAGAAAGAACTAAATGTTCATTACTAAGAACTGGTTAAAAATATTATGGCATACCCATATAATAAAATATTAAGTAGCTAAAATTAGAAGGTTCCAAATATACTGAGAAAATGATTTCTAAGGTATCTTAAGTAGAAGGAGATTCAGACTCTCAGTATAGCATGTGTAATATGCATATATAATCACATACACATTCCTACACAGACACAAGATAAAGGTGTATACATTATTACCAACACTAAGAACAGAGTAAGAGCAAGTTTAAACTGACTTCACTTGTATTCCTGAGGGGTTTTTTTTTGAGTGTGTGTTTTTTAATGGTTAGCAATGTGTACAACTCAGCAGATGATCTGCTCATGAAGGCACTTCGTTCCTCCCCACTGCCCTTGGACAGTCTTTACCTGAGTAATTACCATGGTCTCCTAACTGGTCCCCTCCCTCCTAAAGTCYTCCTATCCAACATCACCAGTTATGCTCTCCAAACAGAAATCTGCTCACACAACTTACCACTGACAACTCCACACTAGATAAAAGAAAGACCACCACCACCAACTCCAGAGCTCTGTCCTCAGGTCCCTGCCATTCAGGCATCTCTACAAACCTGCTGATCTTGCATTCTGCCTTGGCCACCCAGGCTCCTGCACAGTATCCCTGTGTCTTTAAATGTTTTCTCACTGAAAACAGTGCCTTCCTTTATTTCTCCCTTTGGAGAAACTCATCTCTTAAGGCCTAGTTTAAGTGCTGTCCTTTCTGTGATGCCCTACTGGACTCGCTCAGAGCACTTTATACACAAAGCACTAACAGGCATGGGTCACAATCCATTATGTAACTGTTAATGGGGCACAGAAGAACAAACACAGATCTTGCAGACAGAGACCTGGGCAGCCGTGATGCATTATGTTCCAACCTCTCTAATCCTCATGCCTTCATGTGTAAAATACATAAAGGGCTTATTAGCACAGTTTTTGGCACATAATATGAACTCAATAGGTTGCTATTGTCTAGGCTCTGACAAATAAACTGTGTGACTATGGACAAGTTGCACAACCTTTGTAAGCCTTAAAGCAGTTGAAATAATATTTACACATGATAGAATTATAGAGGATTAGATGAGATGTAAGGTACTAGGGCTTTAACACTGAAAGAATGAATGGTTTCAACTAAAGAGTTAAAAGCTACCTGCTCCAAATTTACATTTTTTGAACCATAAAACAGATTTTACAGATGTCTGCTAGTGAAGAGTGGAGGAGGGGAGAGGCTGGGAGAGACTGGGGTTTAGGGAAAGACAGTGTGAAGACGTGGGTGTTGGGGTAGTAGTCTGAAGCTCTTTATAGGTGCTAGGAGACCACATGGTATACAGAAAATAGAATAGAAGAACATGCCAGAACTTCTGGGCTCTGTTCCAGTTTCTATTGTCTGGAGAAAATGCAAAGTTATGAATTGACTATAGGGTCTTACACTGGAACTAGAACCTAATATAGCTTTTGGTGACTACCCTCTTCCCCACATTAGAAAAACTCAAAACTCCCAGGGTTAAGGGCAGAGAAAGGGAATTTTCAAGGAGAAGATGCAAACTAAATCTTGGCAACTCCAATTCAGCAACTGGAACAGACGAAAAGAGGATCCTAAACCAAGCCAACCTGGAAACCGGCTGATCGGGTTTCTCTGGGAGGGCCAGTGAGACACACAGGGCAGACACGCTCCAAGAGCCAAACGAAACCAAAGCCACTTGTAGCACTTTACAAGGCAAAACAAGGAGTGTCTCAACAGCATGCTTCTTTTCACTGCATCCCTTGCCCCAGTATGTGTCTGTGTCGGGGGAAGATCTGTGAAGAAATCTGACAATGAGGGACGTCTAGTATGAAACTGGTGTGTATATACTACGCACACTCTGACACTCCCAATATCTCTCGTTCATATAGTTTTTGTTTTAGTATATTCAATATTATATAGGGTGCTTAAAGGTTCCTGAGTTAGGAACTAACATATTAAGGATAAAGGAGATATTAAGCATAACAATTTAAAAATTAAGTAAAAATCCTGTTCTGTTAAATTTGAAGTATAAATATCACAGTGACACATACCTGAGATAATCTACTTACAAAGAAGAAAGGCTTCCTCGGGCTTATGATTTCAGAAGTTTTGGCCCATGGTTGCTTGGCCCTGTGGCTCTGAGCCCTGAGATGGCACAGTGCATCATGAGTGGTTTATGGCAGAGGAGGTCTGTCACCTCATGGCAGCCAGAAAGCAGAGAGAGGAAGAAGAGGGCCAAGGTACCAACATCTCCTTCGAGGGCAGGTCCCCATGACCTTTCTTCCACTAGCCCGGGCTCCTAAAGGTTCCACCACTTCCCAGAAGTTTCTGGCTCAGCACAAGCCTTCAATATGTGGGTTTTTGGGGGGACATTCAAGTTCTATTTTAAACTGTAGCAATCACTATGAACTTGGGTTCTAATCAAAGAGCATAAAAGCAATGACACTCTAGTAACTTTAAGCACCCCTAGCTGTCCAGTTTTGATTTCTTTTTTTTTTTTTTTTAAAGAGAGAGTGAGAGAGGGGAGAGAAAGAGAGAAAGAGAGAGAGAGAGAGAGAGAGAGAGAGAATTTTTAATATTTATTTTTTAGTTTTCGGCGGACACAACATCTTTGTTGGTATGTGGTGCTGAGGATCGARCCCGGGCCGCACGCATGCCAGGCGAGCGCGCTACCGCTTGAGCCACATCCCCAGCCCCCAGTTTTGATTTCTAAATATCATTATTCACCAAAAGGAATAGGCATCCTCAAAGAAACGATCAATTCAAGGTCTAAGGCAGAAGTATAGCTCATGTGTGCACTGGTGTCAAAACGGCTGCCCAGCCAACAACTTGCACAAGACATCACTGAGTACAAGCCACAGGCTGATTTCAGAAATGTTGAAGATGTTTTTAAAAGGTATACACACATGCACACTCACACCAAGTATGAGGAAACGTGATATTAAGCCACCTTATATATTCTAATAATTGATAACTAAAGGAAAATTATACATAATCCTGGCTTTCTGGTAAAAGCAAACTAAATGATGAAGACAAGTCCTGCCACCTTTTGGTAATAACACTTGATGTAATGCCGACCCTGTTGAATTTTTAAGTGCACAACATGGCACTGTTAACAACAGGCCCTATGTTGTACAGCAGATCTCCAGAACTTTCTCATCTTGTGTGACTGTAACGTTACACCCACTAAACAAACTTCCCGTTTCTCTCCCCCCATCCCCTGGCAACCACCATTCTATTTTCTACTTCTGCAAGTCTATTTTAAATACCTCACATAAGTGGAATCATGCAGTATGTGTTGTTCTGTGACTGACTTATTTCACTTAGCATGTTTTCAAGATCCATCCATGTTTAGAAAAGTGTTACTTTTTAAATATACAAGGAATGATAGAAAATTATCACTTTGTCATCTCTAATGAAAAATTAATTTACTTAAGGAATATAGGGATCTGGATAAGCATGTGACTGCTGTGATTTGGCTATGAAGTGCCCCCAAAAGCTCTTGTATTAATGCAGGAATTTTCAGAGGTACAGTGATTAGAT